GACTCGCACTTCAGCAACTTGTACCTCATGCCGTGGTGCGAGCCGGCGCCACAAGCCGTACACGGCATCGCGTTGTTCTTCCCTGTGCTATGTCGCTTCATGTTACTCAGCAGATCGTCAGCTTCATCGGTGCTGAGGTCGCTGCCCACCACTCGCCAGGGCAGCTTCCGTGGCATCACTCCTCGCTTGGTTTCTCGGGAAATGGGGTTGTCTAACTGACTGGCATCGGGCTCAGCCTCATTGGCTATAAGTCAAAATGGCTGTGCACGAACTGATTGGCTATAAGTCAAGCCGCCCACGCGTCATGGACGTGGCCGCTCCGCTCCTTCCACGCGCGCGGCCGTGCCTTATATGCACGAAACGTGTGCTTTTCATGCATCGTGTGGTGGTACTGGACTATAGTGTGCTGAGAAGCATCTTCGTGTGGAAATCCACGTTCTTGTGTGTTGATCATGGTCTACAGGTGCCGAGACATATCTTCGTGAGGTTTTCCACGTTTGCGGTGCCGACTCAACAGTTTTGTGTGGATTTCACTCGTTCTTGAATATCTGCAGTCTGGTCGCAAATCTGCAAATCAATTCGTGCCCTTGTTGTGCAAATTACAGAGCTTTCTGTGCGCGTTTCTAACCTAACCGCGTGCATTCGCGGTCTTTAACATGTTGTATAATACAACATGTTAAACAAATCTATTGTGTGCTACACGTGCAGTTATACTTCAAAGTACACAACGTTTGAGAGGGGGGGGGGGGGGGGGGTAAAAACTTGCTATCTTGATCGAAAGTCACTCCACGGGCAGTTTTTTCAAAGAGTGACATTCGTGTGTACACATCAAATTGGTTCGTCTAAAACCACGTGTGCCACACCAGATCGTGTTTACCACACGCTTCAATCCAACGAAAAATGTAAAACGTCCGTTTTCTGCAGATATCCGGATGCGGGGTGTTTCACTCGGCTTCAGTATTGCCGCTTGGACCCGCTCGAAACGCTGCCCCTTCGTGGTATTACCAAAGATTCCAGGCCACAGCAACGTCAGCCATGTCGGACCGAGGCTCGCCGTCTCCGCGCCGCAGTCGCAGTCGCTCGCCATCTCCCAGAGCCGACGACAATGAGGACAAGAAGAGCCCGCGCGTGTCGGACAATGAGGACCGGGAGACGTCGCGCCGCAGTCGCAGCCGCTCGCCCGCCCCCAAGGCGCCCGCTGCCCCTGCGGACGTTGCTAACCCAGGCAACAATCTGTACGTGGCCAACCTGGCCACGCGCGTAGGAGAGCAAGATCTGCAGGAAATATTCTCCAAGTTCGGTCGGGTTGACAAGTGTGAGGTGATCGTGGACCCCGTCACGAAAGAGTCGAGGTGAGCTTAGCGACGAGGTTTGACACAGAGGAGCGTGCTAATGTTACTGTTGACTGGCAGGGGCTTTGGCTTCGTGACGTTCGAGGACGTTCGTGACGCTGAGGATGCAGTCAAGGAGCTGAACAAGTATGTGGGCTGCTGTAAGCTTGAGTCTGTAATATGACTAATGGTGGCGGTCTGAATGTAGCCAAGAGGTCCAGGGGCGGAAGATTAGAGTGGAACACGCCAAACGGAAGCGTGGACACGAGAAGACCCCCGGACAATGTGAGTGTGAAGCGAGACGTGGAGGTTTATGCTTGAATTGTGCTGACATTTGCTGCCGGACAGACCTTGGACCGAGACTCGCTAGCGCAAAATACGGCGGCGGTCGTGACCGCTTCAGCAGAGATCGCAGTCGGGACCGAGGACGGCGGAGTCGTAGTCGAGACCGAGGCGGATACTCGCGTCGCTACGACGACAGAGACCGAGGCCGCTACGACGATCGAGGACGCGGCCGCTACGATGACCGTGATCGTGGCCGCGGGGGCTACGACCGCGATTCGTACGACGACCGACGACGCCGCTAGTTTGGGGCACCGGGCACCTCTGCACCTTGGTACAACTGGCTTTTGGATTGGCGTCTTCTTTCCGGATCAGACGACACCTCAATCGACCCCCAACCAGCCCATTCTCCCTGCGTGCCATGCCAACCCAGCTTGTGTTTAATCCAACTAAATAAATCGCAGCTCGTCCACTTATCCGTCGGACGCACCACATCGACCTACGCAACTTCAGAGCAACAACTCAACAACTGCGGATCGTCGGAACCGATCACTGTCCTCATTCACTAGCTTCGACCACGGCTTATACGACACCAACGTGCCAAAACCGCTTAGCATCAAGCCTTCGTTGCAACGGTAACTGTTCTATTGCGGGCCATTATTTCCTGCACTACTCGCGCTTGTACACCAGCATCTTCGACACGACCTCGGACGAATCCGCATCGCCACTAACGTCGCTGTGGAAGAACGAGGCTGCCTCGACAAAGTGCGTGTTAGCTAGCAGCGGTCTGATCTTGGCAGCAATGGTGGAGTACGTCACGACGTAGGTCGGGAGTTCCATGGATATAGAGTCCCTAACAACACCATCCAAATGGTAGAGGTTCGTGAGGAAACGCCGAGGATCACGCTCAAGTTGGTGCGACTCGCAGCCGTCGGTTCGCTCACGGTTGCTGTATCCAGACAAAGTTAACAGCGGATGGTTAGAGTTAGAGTTTTTCACATGAATGAAGCAGAATCTTACGCTGGTGAGCAGTCTGGGAACCACATCGATACGTTTTGATGCAGATAACTGTAGTACGGCGTAGCGTGGCAAGGAGTCCAAAAGTGGATCGAAGCCTCCGGGTTTTCTACAAACGACAGGCGTTGGTAGAGCTTGGGGCTCTTTAGAAATACAAGCATGAAGTGAATGTACCTTGGATACGATCGGCCAGATAGTCCATTACCTCAACGGGGGCACGCTAAAATGTCATGATAACAAGTCGAGGTGTGAGTCCGTTTTGGTGATACAAACCTGCCATCAAGTAGCAATCCAACGTACCTGATGGCTTCGTGACAGGTAGTAGGCAGTGAGCACATTCGGCAAGATGACTGAAAATACTGCGAGTCGAAGCAAGTTCCACTGTGTTCTGTCGCGAAATTGTACGTACAGCTTGCGCTCGAGATTGCGCAGGCAGTACCCAGAATACACAATAGCCGGTGGGAGAAGAGGTAGAACGAAGCGAAACTCTTTGTGAGCAGCATTGCTGTACACGAAGAGCGCCCACAAAATCACACGGCCCAAGTCTTTCTTCGAAGGCTGAATAAACCCAGAAAAGTGTTATAAAAAGAAAACTAGGACAACAAAACTGCATCGAGCGGTACTAACCGGCACAGTGAGATATCCAGCGATAGCAATTGGTAGCGTGGTGCCCACAATGGCCGGATAGCCCTGCGAGAAATACCAACTCCATGGGTGCTCGCCGTACAACTTGTCTTTACCCTGAAAAGAGTGAAAAGGTTCATAAGGCACACGTTATCTAAATGAAAAATCTCCATAGCACATCTTCAGCACGCACCTCTAGAACGTTGAACTTGAAAAAGTTGAACGGCACGAAAGTCCACTCGCCGTATCCAAGACGGTCGATACACAACATAGCTAGCGTCGTGACAATCGCGATCGGCACCACAAGACCGAACATGAGAAAAGCGTGGTCACATGTCTGCAAGAAATGCACTATGCCAGGGTACAGCCAAATAACTGCATTCGTTGGTCGAAAAAGCACACCCAGCGCTGCAAGTACAAGCGCCAACGTGCGATTGCTATGCTTCACGGGGGCGGCATCGTCGTTCTTCTTGTCTGCTCCTTCCTATCGTACAATACACCACTAACTTCAGCCAAAAAGTAAATACCTAGACACCATTCTAGCAGCGTACCAGAAACTTCCAGGGCCAATAAGCCAGTGCCGCTGTCGTGCACAGCGTTTCAACGCAGTTTGAGAACGGCCGCACCATCACGTAGAAGGTGAACCACGAGAAGAACTGACACAGCAACGCCCACTTGGCCGTCTTGGCGTCAAAATAATTCCGTGCCAATTTGTATAGGAAAAAATCATTGGCTGCCGATAGAAGGCCCTGTAGTAGTCGTGGCCCGTACGCCACCGCCCACCGCGAGTCCAAATTCTGCAGCATAGCGTCATTAGCATCAAGTGTCTTTCAGCCCAACTCGTTCAATAACGTACCAGCAGCTCCAGGAGCTTGTAGAGCCCTGCAAACAGCGCCGGGTGAGCGAATCCTCGCAGTTGTGCGTCGTCCTGCCACTCCCACGTACTGCAATAGTCACTAAAAGGTCAATGAACTGCCTAGTGTATCATAACTTAACAGAGACGCACAGGTATCCGTAGCCGAAGACCAGGCGGTGTGCCACCTCAGTGCTCTGCCAGTACTCGTCCGGGTTGAATGACGTGCGTACAAACAGCGCATTCCAGAGGCGGAAGGCTACGACGCTCACCCAGAAGATGCGCGTAGTGGGGAGCTCCTCGAACATATCAATCGTTGCGATTGACACACTCAATCACGAAATGAGAGTAAAACCACGGGATTACGTAATTCATAGTCAAAATTGATCTAATAATTGTGTAGCCATGTGTCACGTATAACATACACTTCAACTCGCCAGTCGAAGTCTACGGCAACTTGGTGTTGAACACCTCGACAGTCTTCTTGAGAGCTTCAGCCAGCGGCTTCACGACAAAGTCCGGGGTTTCTTGTGTGCCGATCTCAAGGCGTGACGCAGCGGTTGGCACGAAGAAGCGTGTGCCGCGAGAGTGCCGCATGCCCTTGCCGGCTGCATGTGCTAACGACGACTGCCACATCTCTAGTTCTTGAGTCGAGGCGGCCACCAGCACCACTTCACTCTGCACACGCTCCACGACTTGCCCGCTGTCCAATTGCAGTGTAACCAGTGGTTGTGAGCGAGTAGCGTTCGTAATACGCAGACAGCGCGCGTCACCCGCGTCCGTCTCGAGTCGTACGTGGCCCAGCGGAATGATACCGCGAAGCTGCTTGCGACTGGAAAAGTAGTAGAGACAATTGCGACTCAGCACGAACCAGCGACGCACCGTCGAGAATCCTCCTTTCTTCAGCAGATAGCCGTTAAGACTCGTGTCTGAAGGCCAGAGCTCCTGCTCTTCAGCAGTAGCCGAGCCAAAGCTGTGCCACATGACGTCCAAGAAGACGTTCATGTCCCGTTCGTGACCGTCGATAGCCTTGAGAGACGGTCGCAAACGCGGACCCATCGGCAGGCTGTCCACACCGACGCTGAGGTGGAGACATATCCGAGCTGCGTTCTTCTGCCACTCGACGCGGTAGATGTAGCGCAGCGGTGTCATCCACTCTACCACGGGCTTAGTGTATGACCCGACGTTGATGTAGAGCACACGCTGCTCCGTGACGATCAGCCAGTGTGACAACTGAACCTTCAGCTTCTTGATCGACTCGTCCACTGCGTCGTTTCCAGATCCAGTACCAGCCACAGACAAGCGACGTAGACGCGCTCTACTTGTCGCTCCAAACTCGATTTCTCCACTATCAGAATGATCCGGCTTTGGCGTAGGAGTTTCCTGCATCAGCTCCTCTGCGCTCTCGAATTGAACCGTGATGGGTCGTGCTGTGCCGCGCAGTAGCGCCAGTGTCTCGTGGAAACCGATACCACGCACGTCCACGCCGCCAACTCCGATGAGGCAGTCTCCTTCCTGCAATACTTGTTGTCCAGGAGCGATTTGTCCACGCACTTTGACTTTGGATCGTGAAGTTTCATCCATCGCCTTGATCGTCACGTTCTCGCAGTAGAAGTCCGTCTCCAGATCCATCCCCAGCTTCTTGTGATAGAACACTACCTCATAGCGTAACTTGCGTCCACTACTTTCCCCTGTACCTGCATTTGGATTCTCACCAGCAGCGCGGCGACGTTCATCGTCTTCCTGCAATGCTCGACGCAGCGAGTTCGTGCGCTCACGAGTTGAGTCATTGCTCTTCGACTTTCCGTTTCCATTGCTACCGCTCTGTCGTCGGTCTCGCGCTTCACGCGTAAGATCCGCCGCACTCACCGACTGCATGATTTCGTTGTAGAAGATGATTTTCTCGCCTGAAAGCCGCTCACCTCCGACTCTTTTGAGCAGTTCGTACGCAATCGTATCAGCTTCCTTGTAGCATTTCAGCTCATTGTAGCGTCCAAACACACGCGGTCGTCGTACTCGCTGCATGTTCTGTCCGTTCTGTAAGGACCGGTTCCGCACACCTTGTGTAGCTCGGGATGCAAAGTCAAAGATACCAGCTACAGGCTTGACAGGGAGGCCGATGATTCCAGTGATCGTGCCTTTTACGAACCCCACAGCGCCACTTTCTTGGGCTCCTCGCATGGGATTCAACACGAGTCCAGCAACACCTTCGTAGACACCAAGACTTAGTTCGCGCGAGCCTTGTACTAGTCCTTCGCGCAGTCCGCGGACATGACGACGGCGAGCACGGGCGCGGTTCTGCTGGTAGTGATCGTCCAAACTCAAGTTCGCGAATCCTTGTCCGAACGTGCCTGAGATCTTACTAGCCGCGTCAAACGTGCCGTCCACCGTGTTGGACATCAAACTCGCTGTGCCCTTAGCCAGACCCTTGCTGAAGCCCTTACCACCAATCTTCAACCCTTCCAGAGGTTCATACACGAAGTCACGCACTCCCGTTCCGATGTGATCCAGGAATCCGACTGGGTTTCCAAGGAAATCAAACGATCCCAGAATCTTGTGTAGCTGTTTCCAGAGCTGGCGCGTGTAGTACTTGGATACTCGACGAGTCAGATCACCGCTCGTACCGAAGGCGTGTTCGATCATCAAGGCGTTCAAGCGCACGGGAGCGTTATCAAGATCTGGCACGTGCATCGTCAAACTTGGGATGGCCCAGGTCACGGAAGACGAGTCTTCTCCGCTACTGTCACCGAACGAGGATGGTGCCGAGCTGGAGCGCTTCATTTCATCAGCATGGCTGCTCGCCTTTTTAAAGCTGGCCGCTTCATGAAGACTGATCGTTGTGCTCGTCTGGAAGACATCGCTGCGGAACGTGATATCAAAGTCCATCGGGTGGATGTGCAGTAGAGCAAAGTACACTTTTCGAGTCTCCGAGGATGATGTCGTGGTGTACGACTTCAGACTCGTGAGCGGGTTCAGTTCGTCACTGTGAGTGTTTTCCCTGTACTCTGCCAGAGACTCCATCATCATCTCAATCGGAATGCTCTTCATCCGAATCTCACCACCACGATTCTGCGATCGGTTGTGCCCCCACGACTGTGACATCGCCGCCATAAATGCTCGAGCTGACACCAAGAGCTCTTCATCCAGCTGCGTGATGACTGGATACAACCAGAACGAGCAGTGCTTGAAATAATCCGTATTGCCCTGTTCGTTGGACCACGTGCAGCAGAAGTGCATCGCCGCTACATTCGCCTGGCGATACTTGCAGTCAGCGCAACTGAAGATATTCTGGTTCGAGATCAAGCCCGTGTTTTCCGGCAAGTCATCGTCGCCATTGTCATCGCCAGTTCCTCTGCCTTGGCTAACCATTTCAGCGAGATCTTCGTCAATGTCACCGATAGTTCTTTTCCGGGTTGGGTTGACTGCAGTTGCATTTTCCATTCGCGGGCACAGCAACTTCGTGAATGTCGCTTCTTCACTCTGGTTGTCAATCTGCAGATCGTCCAGCGTAATGTTCATTCGCATGTTGGAATTCACACGAGAGTAATGGAGACTAATACCACCCAAGTATACGTACACCAGCTCCATTGGAAGTTCGTTCACACACGAGATGCCGACTCCATCCACGCGTAGATGCAATGCCATTCCAGAAGTCAGAGATTCCAACGCGCTAGCGGAGGTTTCACTCGCTGTAGGTGAGTCAGAAGACGCCGACGCTGTGCTGGATAGCTCATACTTGTTCTCTCTTTCGTCAAAGTCTTCTTCACCACCTTCAAACAGCTCCAACACCTTAGTCGGTCCATCTGCACGGATGCGAACATGAACATAAGTCTTCGCATTTTGAACCTGTGGAATAAGGTCTCTCTGCGAGCGTGCCGTCTTGGGGGCTCCTGCCATCGGTGTCTCCTCTGGCATATCCTCGATATCGCCAGCCTGGCCGCCTTGTGTAGCCAGCCGTAGTCGTCTCACCCAAATTTTAGCAATCTTCGGGTTCTTGGCCTTCAAATCGTAGCATTTCGTCGGCGTAATGATCGAGAATTGGTTCGACCCAATGACGGGTGGCATTGCACCAGGCTTGCTGGCAGATAGATCGCTATCTCGCGGTGTGGTTATGCTGGAACTGTCTTCGGAGTCCAAGTCAGAGTCCTCTGCTAGATTGATCGAGTCAACACTGTACCACACGATTTTTGAGCACTGGAAACTTCTCAACGGCGCTTGTTTGTGAGCACCCACGTCGGACGATATCTGAATTGGCTTTAGTACACCAAGTTCCATCATCTCCTGCGCTGTCGTGAACGCCTGCGCCTTCGTCTGTGTACTCATTTCTGTCACCAAGAAGTCGACTAGATCTTGTCCATTCACGTAAAAGCCCTTCCGCGTAACGCCGCTCTTTGCAAACGTCCCACTTTCAATATGTGCGTTCACGAACTTCTCAGACTCTTCACACAACACACTGGACGTGGTTAACGAAACTGCAAGTCGTACAAGCTCTCTCGACCTGTCGTCTCCATCGTCATCATCGTCATCGTCACCTCCGTTTTTCTGTCTCGAACCGCCACCGAAGAGACTGCCCGAGATCGAAGAAACCAGCCCATTCAAAGAAATAAACCCGCTCTTTGATGGAGCTTCTGCAGCCTTCTCAAAAATCGCGACTCCACCAACACCCGGCACGTCGGAACCTGTGCGTAGATCGACAACTCCGAGGAGCTCCTGGTCCGTTTCGTTGGCGAAATAGTACAACATGTGCTCGTACAACCGGAAGTACTTCCGGTTCCACTTGAGCATGCTGTCTTTCTTCAGCAGGTATCCCTTTTGCTCCGGCTTCAGGAATAATTCAGACGGCAGGGAGCGATGCAGCTGAATGCGCTTGTGCGTCGCCATTTCATCCAAATTGTACTCTCGAATCTCCACTGCATCCTTGTCCGAGTCCCCGCCAGTCTTGGACGTCGAGGATGTCACTCGCATGAACCGTACTTGAAGTGAGCGAGACGAAGAGCTTGAACTACCAGGGAAAGCAGGGTCTTGGTTCGACGAGGACGACGACTTGCCTTCCGAGCCGTTCAGATAATCCCATGAATAAGGACACGATGAGCGCGGTAGCAACTCGTCAAAGTCCTTGTCTTCACCCCAATTTGTCTGCTTGTAGCGTATCCGAAACGATGTCATGTTGTCGATTCTGTACGGAGGGAAACGCTTCGACTCCTCTCGGAAGATCAACGCCACAGATCCGCCCACCAACTCGATCTGGCACTGCAAAATGTAGATGCGAGACAGGTCGTTCCGGTCGCGCAGCTTCAAATACGTGGTCCCCAGCGAGTTGATTCGGAAGCTGCCACTCCAGCTGTACTTGTGCAGTAAACTAACTTCCAGAAGTTTCTCTCGTGACGCACTTGGCCAATGGAATGGCACGAGTTCGTTGGCAGCCAGTCGGAAGGTTTGAGGCGCATCAAACTGTCGATACTTGATGGTCTCTTCAGTTTTGTTGATCAAGATGTAGCGAGGAACAACCGTGGCCATGATAGTCTCCGAAAATCGCCCGCTACCATAACAGCTCCACAGAGCTACTTCTTGAGTGCCTTTACGAAGTTCACTCTCTTGCTCCTGGTCATAAACCTCATTGGTGAGACTGATAACTTGAGCAACACCCGAGTTCCCCATGGCATTCCGGTTGAGACGAATAACCTCAGACCATGGCGAAGAACGCGACTTGATCCGCAGCACATCCCAATGCTTCCCACCCGAACTGTACGGCAACACGTCTCCCCAAGGCATCGGGCGAATTTGAGCAGGGTTTGAGCGCTTGGAGCTTGACACTAACGACCGCGGGGTGACATGATGAGTACTCGCCGTACTCGCTTCGTCGTACAAACGAATCGTTGTCATCGTTGTCCTGTGACACAAGTGAAGGCCATGGCGGCGGCCCTTGTTCTCGATCTTTGATGTCATCGGAATAGGCTGTCCATACCAACGCTCGCCCTCTGGTCGGCCAGCACTTCGAAGCGATACGAATCGAGGCAGCGCCAACTCGTAGAAGTCAAAGTCTTCAATGTCCAGAACACCCACGAAGCCACACTTCATGCAGACGAGATCGAAGATATCGGACATTAAAGAGTTTGAATAGACTTCAACGACGACACAAGCGAAGCGGTTGTGAGGAAGATACACCTGGAGCCCATGAGGCTTTCCAGTATGAGCCGGCTTCATCGGCGACCCATTCGCAATCAATGCGCCCATTGCTCTGGTCGACGTTGGATCGTAGGATAGCAGCTCCTGTGAATCGCTTTCGCCTGTAAACGTGTACGCTTGACGCGCACGCATGGTAGTTGGTGCGCCTATTAATCCCATGTCGTGACTAGACGGCGTTTGGAGTCGCTGCAGCGACCTAGCTGCACTTGTGGATGGCAGCGGTCCTGGTGTTTGCTGTCCATCCATTGTCGCAGCAGCTTCCACATCATCCAGCTCAAAGTCTTCACTCTCTTGCCTCGCCAGATACGACACCGTCATCTCCTCGTCATGAATAGCTGGTGAATCGTGCTCTTCAGTCACTTCTTCTACCGTATCTTCTGCATCCATGTCCGAAGGCAACTCTTGGGACATACCAACCGAAAAGGATATGCTAATATCTCCTCGGTGTATACTGGCAAGGTTGTTCTTGGATGCCTTCCGTTCACGAGACGACTTGCGCTTGAGCAACTTGTACCAATTGAAAGCTGCAGCCCGCTTGCGATCTTTCAAAATGCTGTCCACTTTCACTGCAGTGACTCCTAGACAAGTATCCAATCCGTAGCGAACGTTGCGCACCTCAATGATAATTCTAGCCAAGTCCAATGTCATTACTTCAGGCGGGAAGCGCAGCAGCAAGGTATTCTGCAGGCGAGCATCCCATTGAGGAGATAATCCACCAGACGGGCTTGGCTTCGTGGTGGTAGAACAAATCGCAACCATCTCCGGTTTCTCCAGGTACCTGTCTTTGGGGTTCTTAAGCACATACAAAGACGCTCGTACATACGGACTCTGTGCTCCGAAAAACTGCGCGTTGTACAGATCCCTTGCTTCCCGAATAACAACAATGACAGCAACAGGGTTGGCGGAGGGCTTCACCTTGTGCAAGCGAGTCAGCTGGGTTTCTCTACCTCCTTCTCCATGGAACGACATCGAGCGGGTAGAGAAATCCTCACTGTACTCTTCTGACGAGCCTGCACGTCGATGCACATACTTGACTACACTCTCCAGTCGCTTGGATGACGAGCTTGTCGAGTTGCAATACTCAAGGTCGAGGTCAGTGTGGTTGACGATCCAAATTGAACAGAACACGATAACGTCTCGCCCGGACAGCTTCACCTGCAGCTGCAGGTTGGGCACACTGCCCTGCTCTCCAGTAATATCGCGGTCAAAAGCACGGCCTAACAGCTGTACTGGTTCAATCGTCTCCTTGTAAGGCACCGAGTACACGGACATCTTCGGGTTGATAATCAGCTTCGGGGCACTCCAACTGTAGTTCTCCAACCGGAACGATATGTACAACAGCTCTGACGTATCAACTTGGAACAAGGGCAGCACGTTTCCCACTGCCAATATACCTTCAGCGATCAGCTGAAGAGAACCATTGAGCAAACGATACGCCATCGCTGTCGCCAAGCGATTGTGAAGCGTAAGGAACGGCGACACAGATAGATAATACAGACTAGAATTGGTCGCTTCGTACAACCCTCGCCGCTGCCCAGCCGCTCGTGCCTCATCCAGCTCGTAATTCACGTCTCGCAAAGGGTTCATACGTTGACGTTGAGCTGGTTCCCCAAACACGTGAAGAAAGTCATCTTCCACCTTCTCACCCTCTTCCTCCTCAACTTTTTCCAGATCGACCGCAGATTCCTGTGCTGGTGGAGGCTCCTCTGTACTCGAGAAAGTGGCACGCATCAGGTAATATGCTTCCACTTCATACGTGCATTTCCAAGTAGGCAAGTCTCGAACAACGTAACCGGACAGCGGGATTGCTGATGACATTGAAGATGACGACACCATTTCCAGCGACTTTGCAGCACTTTGCAACTCCTCCATCGTGGCAAAAGTCTCAAAATTGCAGATGCAGTTGCCAGCGCGCACAAAGCGCTTCGTGTTGACCGACTTTGCCGTCCGTCCTTCGTCGCCGAGTTCTTCTAAGCTGGTTGTCAGCGGCGCATACTGCACATACGGCGAAGGTCGAATACTGATTTTGCTTTGAGGGTGGACAAGTTGAAGTGGAATATGACAAATCTGCTCACGGTCAATAATCCACTCTTGGATGCAGCCACCTTCACGAGGAGAAAACGCCCACACCATCAAGGGAACAGACGTTCGGTTTTGCAGCACCACTTGCGAGTGGAGACTGATTAGCTTGCTGCCATCGGCTTGAATGCTGATCTCCGCCACCAGAGTCGGCGGACTGATGTCCTCTTCACCACCATTTTCAAAGTCGTTCGCATCTGCATCTGCATCAGTCGCCTGCGCTAGCGATTCTCGAAGAGGTACAGCTACGTGGCCGACCATATCCACAACGACGGGATTTGTACTCACCCACTTATTACCGTTCAACCACACAGAAAGCGTGTGATTGACCGTCAACGCTTGGCGATCAGTTTCCCGCAAGAACCTATCCGCTGAGGCGCTATCGAAGGTCAGCATGTCTCCTTGCTCGCGACAATCAACTGACACCTTCCCGTTGTCAGATACAATCTGCTGAATGACAGTCCCCGAGCCGCGACGGAAGCTAAACTTGAGATCTAGACCTGTCTTGTTTTCAACCCAGAACGGCGCCGTCGACTTTGATCCAGAAGTGACAAAATCAGCTTGCCTCAGTGCCTCCGATGACAGCAAAGGAGCCATAGCGGGAGTCATGTTGAAGTTGACAGTGTTCGGTAGATTCGCAAACACTTCCACAAGACTGTTCTCTTCCAGAGCACGATGAATACGCATCTGGACCACAAAAGGCTCCACCAGCGGCTCCCATCGGTAGATACTGTTGTTGAAGTAGTTGAAAAGCAGCGTGGCGCCCATAGTCGTCGAGTAGTCTTCGTCTTTGATGTACTCGCACACAATCTCCCGCATGTGGAAATCAGCAATAGGAATGCCTAAGCTGTTGTTCACGAGCACCAAGCGCAGTTCACCCACATCACCCAGAAGCTTGTCAGCAGTATAGGTCGGTGTTCCAGAATGAGACTTTGGTGCATTGTTTGACCCGTTCCTCGCTCCATTGGGTGAGACCTTCGTGGAATTCGATCGAGATGATGACGGAACCCACCGCAGATAATTGTTTGCGATGTTAATAAATAAATTGGCGTCTTGGACAGAAAATCGAGTCTCCACAGGGGCCAACACGAACGAGTTACGTCGCGAGAGTGAGATCGAGCCTTCCACAAAGTGGTCAAACACCAAAAGAAACGAGTTTGACAAAGGAAAAGATGCGTCAATCTACACAAAACATACACAAAGTCAGTGTTAGTTTTGCCGTAATATATCGCAGTGGCACTAAATAATTACCTGGAGATCGGGAAGCTGCGAGAAATAAACGCCATGCTGATCAAACTCCAAGTGACACTTGGTCATATCCGTCGCACCCTTGCGCTTCTGGTGGGTTGAGTATGCAGCCACAACATCCGTCAGCATCACCAGCGCGCGTGCGTCGGCCGTTCCAAAATCTTCCAATAGAGAGAACAGACATCCGGATGAAGTAAAGAAGAAGTCAATTTTCTGCCAATCTGGAGGAGGAGGGCACATATACCCAACATCGAAATCCAGGAACTCTCCCACTGCGAGAATTGGCTCTGCAAAGAATGCTACGATGTCGTGGAAAGCTGGATACACCCCCAGAAAGTTGGTGTTCCGCACCTTCAAATCGTAGATGGTGTCCGTCCAGTTCATCTTTTGATTGTACTCTATTTGCAGACCGTCTCCAGGAAGCGGACGAACAATTTCAGAGGCCGGCTGACAACGAGTAGGTCGGATATCTGCCGTCGTAAAACTTAATGCCGACGCACTGAACTCCAGCGAATCATCCGTCCGCAATGTAAATACCAACTCAAGCTGTTCCCAGAACATGTCGGCAACGGGATGGTCTTTATTCGAGATGCGAAGCGCAGCGTCAGCAACCTTCACTGGGATCTTCATCCATATTGCTCTGCAGTTTTCGCTGGCATGGTGGAGTCCTCCACACGTGGCGCACAATGGATACGTATCTTCCGTGACGACACGTGATACTTCCCGAAAGTTTTCATAGATCATACCGAGGAGAGTTGTGTACTGCTCTGGACCCGTTCCGATGCTGAGTTCATTCATTGATAGACTAACCCCAAAGTACGAGCTCAGAGCCGCTTCAGACAAACTCTCCGGTTCCGAATCAATGCGTCCAGTAAGTAGCGAGTGATGGAAGAGCGGCGACGCAGAATCACGCGTGGTGCCACTTAGATCAACCAGTTCAAACTCGAAAAGCCCCACTGAATACGTTGACATATCTGCATCGCCATTGCCCCTTGACACCATGTTGGCGTTCGATGCGACTCGTGCATCATGGAATTCAGCGTCCTCCGCCACGAACAAAGGCGTCATGAGATGCTGCGACATACCCGCAACGTCCTGACGAATCTGCTCCATCGAGTCTGACCGCCTTCGCGAACCATTTGTCGGGGTGCTTGCCAAAAACTGCAGACTATCGCGTCCACCGCTATTCAGTGCTTCTCCTTCAGCTTTAGCTTCATCCAGTGCCCCATCCACTTTGAGAAGATACTGCGTCAGCTGCTCCAACTGCTGATCCAAGTGCAGAATCTTACTATGGATGATCTTCACCGCATCTTCTGCAGCCGGGAGAGCCTGAAAACCTTCATGCAGATAGTTTTGTGCTTGCTGTGTGGCACTACGAAGATCAATAAACAGCTGACTCCGGTTGCTCAAGATTCGCGAGCGCTGGTTTTTGATTTGTCTTCGCAGATTTCTTAACTCCGTTCGCCTTGAAAGCTGAGCCTTCGCTGCAGATGCACCGGCAAGAGCTGAGCCATACGACAGCCGTGACTCGTCGACAAAGGTACCGTTCTGCAGGAAATCAGAAGTTGAAGGATCAATTCCACTGCTCCAGAAGCGGGCATTGGTTGATCGAAGAATGATGCTATCCCGAGAGAATGAGCTGCGGGGCAACGCAAACGCCAAGTCATTTCCGACAACTTCAAAGCGTACATTTCCCATCTCTCCTTTCGCTATTCCCATGGCACCAGCACGCTCGTTCACTTCGGTTACCACTGCACTGTAATACATGCGGAGGAGCTCTTTGACTGATACAGGGAGCGCAGCCGTAGTCACCACATAACTCTTAAATACAAACTCGGCCTTTTCACAGCTCGGATATTCCTCCAGCGGGTTGACGAGAGCTTCTAGAATGTGGTCAAACAGGTAGTGGTGGAACTGTTTGAATACCCTGTGCAGATACACAATACACACGGAGTCCAAGCGCACGCGAACTAAAATACCGCCATCAGTATCCCCAGAAGAGTTAATCACAAAGTCAACGACATTTTTCACACCAAATGACCCCACATCAGCGACTCCGTCTAGCATATCTGAAGGCGAACCAATGGCTTGTCGATTCGGCAACGCCACATCAGATTGCGATCCACTTGGAGAAGTCAAATCAGTCAACTGCAAATTCCTCACGCTGCCCTTGACTTCAAATCCCCGGCCACACACAGCAGCACCCGACCCACTGCCTTGTAGCGACATGCTCGAAACTTCCACACGAGCAATCGTTTTGATAGACTCCACGCCTTCGAGAGAGGCACCGGGTGTTTGATCCCGTTGCTTGACGTCAATCTGCAAACCATGCACTACCGACAGACTTACTACAACCTCGTCATCAAAGCAAGATGAATCCTCCAGCAGCGTCGACGATACTTGAGTCCCCAGCTTTGACAAGTTGCGCCGGAAATCGTCCAGTTCATATCCAAAGCTTGTTGACAGAATAAAACCCAGCAAATATCTGTCGTGGCATCCTCCTATCCACTTCAGAACGGTTTGTACATCTGGAAGGAATAACTCTCCATACAGACGTTCAACTGAGATAACGCCCCGAGTAGTCTGACGGTCGAATCGCAAGATCGATGGCGCTGCAGTTGTGTGGGGGTCACTCGAATAGGTCCTACTCATATGATACGTTGCGCTGAGAGCAGGGGCACGCAACCCTGGACTTTCAGCAACTTGAACAATAACATTTTCACCTTCTTGAAGAGAAATTGACGAAACACTAACGCTCTGGCTACCAGTTGTCGTGCAAACACGTGACGACCATTCCACGTCCTTGATGCACAATACAAACGTGGAGGACTTATCTGGCCGATCATCAGAAACGCATAACCGAACTTCGGGCGTTCTTACGGATACCATTCGCTGGCACACCAGATTCACACTTGTACTTCCTATTGCCGGATGTAGATCCCGATCAGGTCCGTTAGCGGGCTTGTCGGGAAGAAAGAAGCTCCACTTTCCAACTACCCAGCAAAGAGCCTCCAGTTCTATCATTTTCCAGTCAATTCGTATTGCTGAAAGCCGCGCTTCATAGTTGTACATAGCAGTTTCTTGTTCAAGATCAGCGTTGTGTTGCTCGTACGAAATCGCCCCGTGCCTCCCCACAGTACAGTGCTTGCAGGAGTAATAATCCATTGACCATTGTGTTCTAGAATGACTCGTTTTCGTCAGCGAGAAGTCGTTGACAGCCAATATTTCATGCAAGCCTTGTACGTCATTTAAAGCCATCTGCGATTGCAACAAGGCCAAGCTTTGGTCTACTGAGAACAATCGTACACTTGTTCGAAAGTCACTTTTCACGAATTCGCGATCAGGCTCAGAGGTTTCAACCACCAGATCCTTTAGCTCCACACCGAAACAAAAATGGTCATGTAGAGCAAATACGAAGCAGATCTTCTCCATCTTGATCCCCAAATGTGCAATCGGCGCAATCTGCGCTTCATCGTACGTAACCAACTTGCTCGGATGCGATAAATTCCACTGATTCCACCACAAATACACGGGAGCAAAGAGAGTCATCCACATGACCAGCGTCTCGTCTTTAATGAACATCATCATGTTGCCTAACTGGACGTCCAACGCTGGCTGATGTCCAACGAGACGGCTCTGATACGCTGGAACAAGACAGGATATCCGGACAATCGGGGCCACCAACTCAGGTGAGTCGCCATTTTCACTAACTCGACTCCCATGGTCAAAAATGCTGTAGCTCTCGCTGCGCTCAGCAACTTCGTACATGCGTAAGGACTGAGCACAGAGCTGGATCTCATCTTCCACGCACGACTGCTTAACGACCCCAACAGTTTCCCCTAGAATCCATACCCATTGCGTTCCTCGTACAATTTCTTCTTCAGTGACGACAGATTCCCTGGCAGAAAAGAAAATCCCAGCACCATGGCGTAGCTCTGCCCGAACCGATAGGCTCGGCGGGGTGATTGCATCCTCAAACTCGTCGTCATCGTCATTATCATCATTATCGGCTGCCAGGGTGAAAGTTTCTCCCACGACAGCGTCCAGGCAGTCAGTCAGCAGCCACTGCTTCGCGTACGAGAGCACCATCAAAAAGCCATCTGGGCGCGATGCTTGCTGCTGTGTCAACGCTGCTAACCGATCGTACTCGTCGTAAGGCGCCTTCACTTCAATCAGAATGGCGTACAACACGTCAATATGCTCAGGTCCAAAATGCACCCTGGGCTGATTGGCTTGCAGCACGAATCTTTCATTGCCGCTAGCGTTGTGCGCGGAACAAATCTCGCATTCTTCTGTCATACTTCCAGGGTCACAGCCAATATCCATATCCAATTCCACGTCTGGGAACGCTGCGTTGACGCTGTGATAATACAAACTTGCCTACAGCATCAACAATTAGCTACCACCACCGGCACTACAAGCAAGAGCAAAGTCATCGCACCTTGACTGTACTGCGCCATTCGTGAAATAAATATTTTCGGTGCATCTTGGGAGATGTAAGCTCGTCCTCTGGACCTGTAGAGGTCTGCTTGGACGGATACTCAATATACGCTGCAACACCCTTAGTTTTCAGCAACTACGCAAGAGTTCACAGTCAACAACACTCCATTTCTGCATGCAATCTCATTCTACGAACCTTTCTCGACTCCATTGCTGAGCTTGACTGCGGCGTGAACTCCAGTTCCCATTCTGCATTTGTGTTGATCAAGCTCACGTGTCCGATTTCGAGCGTGCCGCTCCCCGGTTGCTATCAGCACCAAAATAACAAAGTCAGTACTCATCTTCTGCCCCTCTCATCACATTGCAGCAACTATTACCGGCGCCAGCGAACTTGGGTCGCAGTCATATCGCACTTGGACATCCGACAGCTCGATCTGCACGTTGGCAATGATGTGCGACACCAATCTCGACAGATACGTCCGATCTGCAAGCAAGAACCCGTCAATCTCTCCGCACAGGAATATATAACATTAAAAGAGCCCGCTATCGCACCATCTCCATTGCTGCCGTCGATGCTCGTGTCTACGTTCTCGATCTCCGTTGTCTCCGCCCGATGCTGCGGCTTGGGCGTCTGGTGCAATGAAATGCGGATGCCTTGCGCCTTGATCTGCACTGGCTGCGTCCACAGCGCGCGCCACGGGATCTTGACGCTCAGGTGGCCAATCTCGCCATCGCCGTACGATAACCGCAGCTGCAGGTCTTGAAACGACAGATCGCCCTGCCATAAACTCAGCTTGAGCATGCTCGAGTCGAAGGTCACGAATTTACCTAGCAGACGCTGCAGCAATAGCGCCACCGCGTGCTGCAGCATCGTTCGCTCTCAGTGTCCGCGCTCCCCTTGCCGCCTTCGTCGCTCTTTACTAAAGTGGCTGCACTCCAGTTGTGTTTACACACGAAATATGGAATATGACAGGGAATGAACTTGATTATACAGGTGCAGTACGTGAGAGTGCCACATGGCGACGGTAGATAATCTTTGACAGCAAGCAGTCGCTATGGCGGGGAGCATCGAGGCCTGGTACTATGGGCTGCCGTACGTCACGCGCTTCTACCTGTCGGTTTGCTTCGGCTCGACGTTATTGAGCACGCTAGGCTTCCTCAACCCACAGTCGCTGTACCTGGATTTCGACTTGGTGTGGCAACGTTTCCAGCTCTGGCGTCTCACCACGTGTTTCATGTTCCTTGGGAGCTTTAGTTTCCCCTTCCTCATGCAGCTCATGATCCTGTACGGTAGAAATAATAGCGACTGCTATCCATGCTGCTACTCTGTAGACTATTACGCGGACTCCTGACTTATTCGCTAACGTGGATGTTGATGCAGAACTAACTATTCTTCCCGACTGGAGGAGGACCCTTTCCCGGGGGGTGGTGGCCCCACGGCTGACTACGCCTTCATGCTCTTCTTTGGAGCCGCTGTGCTATGGGTGAGTGAACAGAAATTTCTCAGTGGCGGCTAGTTGTCTTTGCCGGACCGGGCCTTTGAAGTTCATGATGCTAACGCTGCTGGGGTTGTTACATGCAGGTGATCGCGTTTTTCATGAGCATCCCGTTCCTGGGCACGTCGCTGATTTTTATGATCGTTTACGTCTGGAGCCGTCGAAACCCGACAGCGCCTGTTGCCATTTGGGGTAAGTTGACGGTGAATGCGTCAGACGTGTTACTGAGTTGTCGCTGGCTGCTATTGATTGCTGTTGCAATGCTGACATTTATGTTGTACTTGATATTCGCAGGCTTCCGCTTCGACGGGCTGTATCTGCCGTGGGCTCTAATCGCCTTCACGGTGCTCGTCGGCGGCAACCCGATCATGGACGTCTTCGGCGTCATCGCCGGTCACTTGTACTACTTCCTGCTAGAGGTGCTACCAGCAACCAAGGGCTGGAACTTGCTGCAGACTCCGGCGGTGTTGTACGTGTCCCTGGATATATTGTGCTTAACATTTACATTAGATCTAATGGAATTTGCTCTTATTTTTTTTTCATGCAGCACGAACTTGTTCCCATCTCCACAGGTCGCTGCTGGTGGAGTCCCAATTATCGGCGCTCGGGGTGCGGCTGGACGCGGCGCTGTTCCCGGCACTGGTGGTTATGCCTGGGGAACGGGTAGACCCTTGGGTACGGAATAAGACGATAGTTGCTTCAAGAGCCTAATAGGAGAGAACAATGCAATAGTTGCTTTGAGAGCCTAATAGGAGAACAATTGAGCATCCATATTATGTGCTGACGATATACTTCTCTGGCTCACTTCAAAATAAATAGAAACACCGCAACGAGGACGAACTTTATCTCCAGAATCCGATGCATTATCAAAAACCACCAGCTTAATTAAAGTCTATCATCAACGTAAAATTAACGTGAATACTACGAAGCCAATATACAAAGTTCATCTGGTAAAGAGTGTGATTACTTTTTTTTTTTTTAAATAAATACTTTTGCACGTGTTATTCTATGAAATAACTGCATGCCACAAGCACACGGTTGCAAATTCTCTCCTCATACCTCATTGTTTAATCTTCTGCGTTTGCTTAGGCATTCATATATCTACACTCTCGAGAGTGCTCTCAGGCACCCCTTGAAAACGGAATAGTACATATCGAGAAATCATACATGAGCGTTTGTGTTGAACGCTTAAGCGACCGAGTCGAGGTAGGTTAATCAACTACACCAACTCGTAACTTTAAGTAAGCAGCCAAAGAATTACCGAAAATGGCAAGATCGTCACAGCGGCCGAGTCCCGTAAGTACATGTACCATAATATGGTACATATTATGTAAAGGTCGTACTGTAGTACATGCTTTGGAGTTTATGAAGAGGAACGATTACGCGGTGCTTGAGAATTGCCAAAACTGGGTGACCTGCTTTTTTTTGAAATATGTAGGGATGGTATTTGGGGCATTTTGATGTAACAGTCGGATCATATGTACCTTATTCCAGTAAGAATGGGGCGGTTAGTAAAAATGATAACAACTATAATACGATTTTAGTCTCGATGCTTTCAGCCTGAAATGATGGCTCCACTATTTCCTGCAGACAGAGTATTGGTGCTAGAAAATTCAAGACTGTAAGTAGCATTTTATTTGTGTTTTTGGAACTGTATCATTAAAATGCCTCTAATTGTATAACTTAACTTTTCTTTCGCTGCCTACAAATACGGCGGTAGATATAATCCTACCGACAGTCTATTCTCACGATCTCCTGTGCCACGTTTACATGAGTAGTGATATGCCACGTAGCTTAGAAGGGGGTGGATATTGCGGCTCTGAACTTGCGTCGAATAAGGTTAGCCCCTTCGTTAGTGGATCAAAATTTACTGCTATTTTTTTCATGGTTCATAAATGACAATTCCACGTCTAGCCTTTTAAATCGTGGTTAATTATGCGGTGCGAACGATATACCACGGATAGTAATATTACTATAGTTTAATTCTAGCTAGTAGGAAAAAAAAACCGGAATTCAAAGGCTATTGTAAGACTACTTCAATTGGGTACATGTACAAGTTGATAGTGGGTACTGTATCGTCTGTGCACTTTCAATGCGTACAACTGTTTACGGAGTCCCAACGTTCGTGCATTCTATGTCTCTCTCACGCTCAGATTTTTCACCAATAGTATTAAATTCCTTTTCCTTTGACCAATCACCATTGACATGTGGACCACAAATCACTCTTTTTCATCCAATTATTCTGGTGTGATTACGTTGTCCGAAGTATACGTTGTTCAGGGTACAACCAGTGACCAATCGCGCCTCAGAAATTCACAACAAAAGTGGCAGGTCAAAGCGAACAGCACCGACGCTCCCTTCTTCCACCTACTAGAAAGTGTATGGCGGCGGAGCATCAGCATCAGCAGCAACAGCAGCAGCAGCGCGGACCTGGCATTGATGGCATGAGTGTGAACTATCCGGTCGAGGAGGCCACGTTCTCCTCGACGCCCTACTCCGCTGCCCAAGTGCAGCGCGAGCAGATGCAAATGCAGTTCCAGCAGCAACTGCAAGCGCAACAACAACACGTGAACCAGCTTCAAATACAGCAGTCAAGCATAATGGAGGATATCGGACCAGCATCTTCCACTCTCATGCAGATGCACGGCGGGAGCACGAGCGCGGAGATGCCAATTACAAACGTTTCGATGCACCATGGAATGCACACACGAAGCTCGGACGCTGCAGCTGCAGGGAGGTTCGTGAGTACGCTGCAGTCGCGGCAGCAATCCAACGTGAAGCGAGGAGGAACGGTGATCACCGGGGGCGACGAGGGCGTGCCGCAACTCTATAAGACCAGCAAGATGCGGCGGCCCGAGTTGTGGCAGTTCATCCGGCTAGTGGTACCGGACCCACCGCATATCGCCGCTGGACGCACGTACACAAACCAAGACGCGAAAGAGGCGTACTGCTTGAAGTGCAAACGTATAATGCACTACAATACGGGAAGCAGCAACAACGTCAGTCGCCACATGGCAAAGTTCCACGCAGCCGATCTGGCGAGTTACGCGCAAAAGATGGCGGATAAAAAAGTGAAGAACAAGAAGCAACAGCAGGATCGACCGACGTATGTACAGCCGAGCACGGGCGGAAGTGAGTTGGCCAGTCCAGGAGTGGGTCACAAACGGAGACGGACCGAGACGATGACGCCCACGTCAGCAGGCATCACAGGTAGCAGCATTTCACCAATTGTTGCGCCTCGGCTAAGTTTGGATGAATTGCGTGCAACGGGAAACGAACTCAGCAGGGAGGAATTAACGCAGGAAGAAACAGAGCAGCTAAACGCGATAGTAGCGCGGTGGGTAGCCAAGCATCACCACCCGTTCACCATTACTGAAGACCCCGAATTGCAGGAGTTGCTCCACTTCGCGGCGACATTACGCAAACCAATCAAGCTTCCTCCACCGAGTTCTGTACGAGCCTCAGTTCAGTCACTCAGCGCTCGCTCGCGGATGGATGTGATGCGCCAGATATCGAGCGAGGTGCTGTTCTATTCCATGGCGTCTGAAGTCTGGATCACCGCCGAGCGCGACATTTTTGTGTCGTTCAGTATTCACTACCTCACGGAAAATTTCGAGCGTCGACACTTCACTATCGATGTGCGAGAACACAGCGGTCACCAAGTGTACTCGTACGAGACCAAGAAGGAGATGCTGTATACGCTGATTGCACGCTGGAATCTGGATCCGCGGTATTTAAGCTCGATGTTGTGGCAGTCCCAGCCCCGCGTTGACGCAACCGTCAATAACCCCATGCAGCCACGCACACAACAGGCCGAAAGTGCGGCCCACGGATTCGAGATCATGTTGGCCCCTCTACTGCATGGTCCGAGAGAGCTCAAAGCGGATGGCATGCAAATGTTCTTCTTTGATGAGATGGTGAACAGTGCTGTTGCTAGTGTACCTCCTGAGTACCAGGCTTGCGTACAGTTCGTACGTGACCAAGTTACGCTCTTCCGGGACCTCGCCTTCTTCTTGACCAACCATCCGCGTGCAGTGGTGCGACTTGGCAAGCTCATGGCTGGAACGAGTCAACAACGCCTCGTGACGGACTCGAAGGCGAGCTGGCTTAGTACTCTCGATATGCTCAAGCGTTTGGTCAAGAAACGCGATGCGATCCACGACTTTTTCGCGTACGTTGACACCAGTGAAGGTCGCACCGAGTTCCAGAATACCACGTCATCTTCGTCACCGCCAGCAGAGAATAGTGGCATGCAGCAACAAGAGCCTACAGACGAGCAATGGTGTGCGATCGAGTGCCTGTTGCAGCTGCTCCAGCCGTTCGAAAACGTCGCACTAGCCATCGGCAAGGAGAAGTACGCCGCATCGTCTCTTACGTTCCCACTGCTGAAGTTTCTGAAGCGAGATTTAGAGAAATTGACAAACTTCCAGCGGGTTTTTGCCAAGTACTCAGCTAGTTTAGAGGGAGGCAACGAGAACCAGGAGTTCCAGGCTCATACGCAAAACATCGCAACGCAGTTGGAGACTGTGCGGAACTTCTTGTATACCGAGTTCAAGGCGCACTTTTCCCGAGCTTGTGGAGAGTTGATGTGGGTCTCGCAACTGGACCCGCGCTTTGTGCGCATGAAGTATCTAAGCGACGAGGAGCGAGAAGTGTGCAAGGCGCGGCTCATCGACCAGTGCTTCGTGCTAGCTAACTTCAACCAGATCATGGCTAATCAGCGCCTCAAAGCGTCCGCCGCAGTATCCGCTGACGTTACCGTAAGCACGGGTCTTGATCCTTCCAGCGCAACTTTCCTCGACTTTCAGACTGGGATGCAGTCGACGCGGGAAGACCATGATACTAACAGCTTCCTGCGTGAGCTGCTCTTCGACGACGCTCACGACGACCCTGCACTAGTGTACCAGCAACAACAGCAACAGCTTCTGCATCAGCAAGGACAACTAGGTGACTCGCTTGGCCCTGTGTCCATCACAACCGGAGAGGGAGGTTCCACGTCACCCTCGAATGCTACTACTGCAGCATACATGGAGCAGGAGGCGCTACGAGCTCAAGTAGTGGACGAAGTGAAGGCGTACTTTGATGCCGTGGCTGTCGCGAAGGTGACAGCCATGCGCGACCCACTGAAGTGGTGGAGAGACAACACGGCCGCGTTCCCTCTACTGGTGCCTCTGGCCAGACAATGGCTGAGCTCTGTTGGGTCTGTACGGCCGTCCGACGTGGTGCAGATCGGGGCCGGCACACATGGCGACCTGACCACCACATCCACGACACAGGGTGTGCAGGTGAACGCCACTACGGGCGCCGCGCTGCCCTACGGCACGCACGCCGTCCACTCCGAGCCGGAACTTGTGCGCGACATCATGTTCGTGCATGACAACTGCTAGTCAAATACTAGTAGACTAGTAGATACGCTCGTTTCACTGGGCAAAATCACAATACGCTATTAACCAATAGTTTTCCTTTTGATGTCACTCTTTTTATCCAATCACATAGCCACTATTCTGGTGAGCCGCGCTGGGTTTGGTCACTCTGCAATTGGAGGGGGAGCTGCTACGCTGCCACCAAGGCTTAGAGCCTATCACGATGCCGCACCCGCGCTTCCCCAAGATCGATGTCCAAGAGCTGCGTGATGACTTCATCCGCTTTGAGCTGTCGGAGACTGACGCTAGTGTGGCGAACGCCATCCGCCGTGTCATGATCTCCGAAGTGCCGACGCTGGCCATTGACCTGGTGAGTATCGAGATCAACACGTCGGTCATGACGGATGAGTTCCTGGCGCATCGTCTGGGTATGATTCCGCTCAACTTCGACGGCGGCCTCGAGAACTTCCGCCAGCGCTTCGTTTACTCACAGGACTGCGACTGCGATGAGAATTGCCCCAACTGCTCAGTCGAGTTCACACTGGACGTGATAGCCGACAGCGGCGTGTTGTCCGTCACGAGCGAGGCGCTCAAGTCCTCAGACCCGTACATTCGCCCTGTCAATTTCTCGTCCGAGGAAGAGCTCAACAACACACAGGACACTGGCGTTATCATAGCTAAGCTTGGCCCCGGACAGAGACTACGCCTTTCGGCCATCGCCAAGCTCGGCATTGGCAAGGAGCACGCCAAGTGGTCTCCCGTGGCAGTCGCCACGTACATGTACGACCCCATTATTACGCTCAATCAAGCCGTGCTCAGCACGTACTCGCCTGAGCAGAAGGCCGAGCTTTACAAGAGCTGCCCCACGGAAGTGTATGAGACGGATGAGAATTACGAGCAGGTGAGGATGAAGAACTGGATGCTAGAGGAGAGAGGTGATTGTTGATATTGTTGAGTTTTGCTGCAGTTCACGGTAGGAGACGCGATGCGATGCATGTACTGCGACGAGTGCGTCAAGCTGGCAGACTCGTTTAAGGACAACCCGGAAGACGACTCGGCTGTGACGATCCGAATGCGGGAAGACAAATTCATTTTCTCCGTTGAGGTGCGTTGGAACCATGACGACTACAGTACAGCTTGTAGGTTGTTTGTATCTCATCTCCTACTTGCATTAACTTGTGTAGACAACGGGTCAGCTGAAGCCCGAGGAAGTGGTGATCTGCGCATTGGATCTGATTCGCGAGAAGTTGTCATCACTAAAGCACCAGTGCTTGGAACTGAGCCAGGATGACCAGGGCTCGTCAGCACCGATCACGCCGTTTGGATAAAGAGGAATAATCGCAACAGGGTGTGTATCTAACCAACGTTGAAGTTGCTGAAGCTGATCGACAGGAGTGCTACACGTTGCCAGCTATCCAGCACAGACAGCACGAGATTCCAGGTTTGGTCACGCCCAGCTAGTGCAGCTTCCGCCGATAGATTTAAGCTGCTGATTGCGTTTTTACCTTTTTTTTATTCATACAACTGATATTCCAATGCACTTGTGTACTTCTACATCCTCACGAGTAGTGTGGCAAGATCTCAACGCTTCCGCCTAGTGTCTGCGAGCTTTCCACCAACGCCGACGTGGCGTCTCCGTCTGGGTTTGCGCTGGTGCGAAAGCATCAGTGCAGAGTTAGACCCACTACATTCATCGAATCAAGATCATTTTGTACCTTTGGTCTACGTCGAGTTCCTTCGCGTCTTGGTTATCACATAGCGTTCCGAGACGTGAAGACTTGTACACTTGCAGCAAGTTCCCAAGCAAATCTGTAGGGTGGACATCACCTTTCGACACACCTTGGCAGGCACACAAGAACGCTATGTTCTCGTGAAGCATACTCACACCACGCTCAAACCCAACACTGCCGTCCGGGTAGAGCGTGTGGCACCCAGCTCCCTCACGTGTGTTTCCAATGGTCGAAAACGATCCGTTGAACTCCATCGGATGTGGGTATGTGATCTTCAGATACTTCACGAGGCAGTGCAGCAGATGAATCACTTTGCCGAGCGCTGCAGCAACCACTTCTGGTGGAACATTCTCATATTTGCCAGACTTCGGTAGTGGCAGTCCCACGATCGTTCTGAAAAAGATCGGGACATTCATCCGTGCTTTCCGTTGCCTCTGCTCCTCCGAAACACCCTCTCGCTCATCAGGCAGTCCACTTAACGGATCGTCCTCATCTTCGTCCACGTTTCTCTCGTCCTCCGGAGTCAAGGCAAATAATGCAAACAGCTCAAGAAGTCTATCACCCCGAACTTTTGCAGCATTCTACCATCGAACCAGGAACGCATAAGTAACGTTTACTTCAAGCATCATAGCTTTGTCATACCTCGTCGGCCCATTGAACTTGGTAGTCGAGACATTCGAGTATGGGGGCATGGAAGCTCTCAGCCCGTTGATTCTCCTGCTGCAACTTTAGCTGCGCCTCCGCCATGTGCACAGTGCGTTCCTCTAGCCGGGAGGTTCGTTCCACGACCGCGATCCGCTCGGAGCAGAGCTGTTCGCGCGTCTTCATGACCTTCTCAGCCAGCTGCTCCACCTGTTTCATGCATCTATCTAGACGCAGCTCAGCTTCCACCAACGCACTCTTCGTCTGCAGCAAAAGTGGTAAAACATAAGAAGAATAATTTCTCAAATGCGGAATTGTCTCGTGACGCACCCTCAGTGCGAACTCGGTCTTTTTACGTAACACCGCCACGTCCGCCTGCAGCGCGGCTAGCATTGTGCGACGCTGCTGCAGCATAGCAGACGTGCAACTCGCGCAGGAGAAGACGTCGCGCCTCCTGTGGCACAGCGCACATTCGCTCTTGTCCATGTTGATTATCAGACGGAAACAAGACTTAAATTATTTATTTTATTCACTTTTTTTTTAAGGGTTCAAAGTTTTTGAGAAATGATGAAGTACAAAATTCTTTTACATTTTTTAACTCGCAATTCCTGTAAGAACCCGCCACTCTTGGCATAGTATGGGCGAAAGAGCTGGATATTTGATCCAGCTCTTGCCACTGTCGCCATGTAGAGGTCCGTAAAAAAGAAATAGTCTAGCAGGTTTTCCAACCGAGAACTTGGCATGCTCGT